TTTGTGTTTTTTTTTTTTTTTTTTTTTTTTTTTTTTTTTTTTGCGTTAAAGAGACAGCACACACTTCTGCTTTCGGGAAGCTACCTTCTGATACAAACTTTCCTCAATTATTTTCTGATCTCACAGAAAGAATGACGCCAATTGAATGATTTCTGACAATGGCAACACTGTGCTCTATAGTGTGGCATATCTGCCTCACATTAAGAGGTTCTGAGTGTGAATATGGGTTCAGACCTCGCTACCTGGAGTTTGCATGTACTGTATTCCTCTGCGCTTGTGTGGTAGTGGTTTGAGATACAGACTAGTTTCGCTTTTGTTTCGTGGGCGGGCATATCAGAGCTGGCAGCTTGTTTGCGTGGTGAAGTCACATGACTGACAGCACAACCCATGAGGGGAGGGGGGGCGGTGTTGGGAAGGCAAGGCTGCAAAGTGGGTCGGCTCTGGGCTGAGACGAAAGCAGCAAGTACGGCAACCGGGCTGTCGCCTTTTTGACAAAACCGCAGCGGTCGATCCAGGAACTAAACGGAAACGACGGTATCAAGCTCATCGCGCTAGTATCGAGCCGATATCGAATACTGACTTGGTATCGATATTTTAGCAATAAGTGACTCGATTCTCTCACCACGATCGCGTAGGCTTTCTCGAAGTACCATGACTCCCGACCACATACCGAAAACATGCACGAAATGTTTCTTGAAAACGAGACAATCTTAGTGCCAAGTCACCTGTGACCCCCAATGAAGACAAGAACCATACGAAATGGATGTCGAGGGGAAATTCGGAATTACAGCGGCTATAAAAAGTCAACACAGCCCGGTTTTTGTGACGAGGCCGATATCAATCCTTTCAAATCCCCCCACCCCATTAATGTGACAGAAGAAGGTGTACCTAATGATGCGGCCAGCACGCAGGCCCTCTCACATCCACTCCCCCCGAGTCAGCTGCATCGAGACGTACTGACAGAAGCACACGCCTCCCTCCAAGTGACCGCGGGATGCAGGCACGGGGAAGGGGAAGCTTCTTTTGTTTCGCATTTTGTTTGGCCCTCTCTTGTTTAGCATTTACATGCTTCCGCTCGGTGACATCATATGTAAACATGACATTAGTTTTCACTGTTACGCTGATGATACCCAACTATAGATGTCGTTGGAAATAAGTAACCCGTGCAGTTCCTGGAATTTGTTGCTTCTTAACTCCAATAAAACCGAGATGATGATTCGTGGCGCTGCTCGGCATCGGCACCGATTCAAGGGCACTACTCCCAGCATTGATAAATGTACTATGACCCAAAGTGCTTCAGTCAAAAAAATCTCACCATTTTATTTGATTGAAAACTCCCTTTTCAAATGCACATTAAGAATATGACAAGAACTGCGTTTTTTTCCCACCTTTGCAATATCGCAAAGATACGTCCCATTTTATCTCCTGGTGATGTAGAAATCATGCGTTTGTTACATCTCGCCTTGATTGACACCTCTGATAGATAGGGTCTCTGATGTTGTCTGCTTTAAAGAAAGCAGCTCATCTGATGGGGGAAACACCTTCTCATACCGCAAGATGAATGACCCCAAAAGCACTGCCGTAGAGTTCATGGAGTTGCCAGAAGTGGCGGGTTTCAGTTGGCAAGTCAAATCTTTCGTTACAAACCCAAGAGAATATGCTGTCAAATGATGCATCATTTTAATCAGGAAACAACAAAATACTGTTTATATTTGTTTTCTGTCACAATGCTGTCTTCAGTGAAAATGGTGAAACTCGGTTCATCAATATCAACACCGAGATGAATTAAGTCTTTACAGATCCTTTCCTATGGAAAAGTATGTTGTATACACGGTTAAAAGAAACAAAGGAAAGACACATTTTGAACGGCTCAAGAACATGGAAAAGTCTCCTGTGCCAAAATACACGGCCCGCTAATGGTGTACACAAGGTCTCGGTGTGCGCAGTACACTCACTTCCACTCCCCTCGGCTCAGTTGCTGGGAAACGTACTGGCAAAAACACACTCCTCCCTCCAAGTGACCCGGGCCGGGGCACGGCTGAGGAAAGGGGAAGTGCCTTTTTGCAAGGCAGCAGGCGTACCCTGAGGAGAACCAGACGAGAGCTATTTTAAAGAGTTCCTCAGCGCTGGCCGGATCCTCAAACGTCACCGTGAACTCCCTTTTGCAATCGTCCAAAGAAACATACGCCAGATAAATGATTGAATTGGACCGACAACCCATCAGGAGCTTCTCCTCCATGAGGATTGCATTGGCCTGACCCGCGGCTTTTTGCATCTCTCTCACGACGTGCTTCTCGTCATCGTTCTTCCAAAGAGAAAGGTGAATGAGCAAGCCGATCGGAACGGGGAAGAAACATATGATAATTACGACCCACCCTCCAATGGGGAAGTATGGGGGGGTTAAAGGCAAAATATTAGGCAATGAGTAAGCTGTTGCGTACATAAATGTTCCCGTGAATGACAGAAAGGCTATCACGCCGGCAAAATAGACCACAGCCCTGATCCAGAGTGGCCGCAGCCACACTTTATTAGGAGACACACTGTTGATGATGGCGATGGCCTTCCTGTACTTCTCTGGGTCTTCAATGATCAGGCGCAGTTGGTCCGGTACGTCCATGTCACTGAACTGCCCCGCATCCCACTTGTAAAGACTTTCCACGTTAGCAGCAGTTAAAGGCTGCAGGGCCTTCCCGTTGTAGATGGACGGAGGCTGGTAGGGAACCACCGTGGAGCCTTGGAGCTGCCGGTTGGGGGTGAAGAGCACCTTCAGCAGCTTGGCCATAAAGTCGGCGTCCCGAGCCTCCAGGTAGGTGAGGTGGCACAGGTGAAGCGGGACGCAGACGGCCGGCTCCAGAAGCACGGGGACGATGGGCTTCCTCTCCAGGCAGTCCCTGAACAGAGACATGTTGGCCTCCAGGAGACACCAACGGCTCCTGACGAACTCCGAGCTGAGGACCAGCAGGACTTTCTGGCTGTCCTGGATGCACTCGGACATGTTCTCCAGTATGGTACGCCCGGCCGTGAAGTCGCGCTCGTGGTAACAGACGTGCAGGCCCTGAGCTTCCAGCTGCTGGATAAGGGAGTGCGTCCACTGGTAGTCGGTGCTGCTGTAGCTGATGAAGACGTGGAATGTCTCGCCTTGCTTCAGAGGGGGAGGAACGTCAGCGGAAGGAGCCGCGGCATTGCCCGCATCAGTTCTTATCTCATCCATCTTCTGGAGAGAGATCACAGACTACTAAGTACAATGTAACAGGTTCCTTTTTGATGACAGTTCGTTCTTTGTTAAGACAGTTTGTATAGTGGTACTGTACCTCGATTTTGGCATGCCCCAACTTACAAGTTTACGAACAGTGGCTCAGTAAAAAAAAAAATGTATAGATCCATCCATCCATTTTCCGATCCGCTTCATTCTCGCAAGAGTTGCGGGGGATGCTGGAGCCCATCCCGGCTATCTTTGGGCAGTAGGCGGGGGACACCCTGAATCGGTCGCCAGCCAATTGCAGGGCACATAGAGACGAACAACCATCCACCTTCACACCCACACCTTGGGTCAATTTAGAGTTTTCCATTAACTTGCCATGCATGTTTCTTTAATGTGGGAGGAAACCGGAGTACCCGGAGAAAACCCACGCTGGCCCGGGGAGAACATGCAAACTCCACACAGGGAGGCCGGAGCCGGAATCGAACCCTGCACCTCTGCACCGTGAGGTCGACGTGCTAACCACTGGCCCACAGGGCCGGATAAATATATATATATATATATATATGTATATATATAGGGGTTGTACAGAAAATTATAACTGTAATATTGTACACTGTGAAAACAAACAGCAACATCCTGAAATTCAATTAAGCATTTTTATTGTCACACTTTGCATCAGATGAATGACCGTTGTGCTGCTGCCACCTGTCTCCGCTCCTCTCTGCAGAGGATAAAGAATATACGACTGACTAGCGTTGTACTCAATAGCTGTGTTGCTGCATCATTTATGTTCATAATATCAGGGCAAAGGGTTATCCGTGCGCTTTGCAGTATTTGTTTGCATTAGCATGAAGCAACCGGACGAAAAAGCTCATCCGCATGCTTGTTTCAAACACACAATGTGTAATTCTCCTGGTTTTATGTTAAGTTTGACAGTGAACTTCAACTGCGAGTGGCATTCAATCGCTTTGAAGCTTCTTTTTTGAAGCATCATTCACTTTTTCCTCAAGCGCTGCTTCTTGTGCAATGAGTTGCATTGACTGCCACTTAAGACACTCGTATCACTTCGTTGTCAAGTTTGAGCTAAACAATATGTACAGTATGGTGGGCAGCATGACGAAATAGTTCTTGTTTTTCGGTTTGCCTTTCTGTTAAGGAAGGGAAGACGAGCACGATAGAAATTAAAAACCACCAAACTGCCAGTGTGGCTATTAGAAGCTACTGTACTTAATAGAAGATCGGTTTCTCTCTCTTTTTTTTTTTTTTTTTTTTTACTTTTCCTCAGAATGGCTGCGAGTCTTAAAAAACATCTGTGCACAGCACAATAATGTACATTCCTACCTGCTCATGGTAGACGGAGCCACACACAGTGACCACACAGTGCCGAGCAGCAAGAAGTGAAAGTAAACACAGGAAGTGGAAAACTGAGCCACTTCTCTGCTTTTTGACTTTTTTTTTTTTTTTTTTTTTTTTTTTGCGTTAAAGAGACAGCACACACTTCTGCTTTCGGGAAGCTACCTTCTGATACAAACTTTCCTCAATTATTTTCTGATCTCACAGAAAGAATGACGCCAATTGAATGATTTCTGACAATGGCAACACTGTGCTCTATAGTGTGGCATATCTGCCTCACATTAAGAGGTTCTGAGTGTGAATATGGGTTCAGACCTCGCTACCTGGAGTTTGCATGTACTGTATTCCTCTGCGCTTGTGTGGTAGTGGTTTGAGATACAGACTAGTTTCGCTTTTGTTTCGTGGGCGGGCATATCAGCGCTGGCAGCAAGTTTGCGCAGCAAAGTCACATGACGGACAGCACAACCCATGAGGGGAGTGGGGGCGGTGTTGGGAAGGCAAGGCTGCACAGTGGGTCGGCTCTGGGCTGAGACAAAAGCAGCAAGTACGGCAACTTGGCTGTTTCCTTTTTGACAAAACCGCAACGGTCGATCCAGGAGCTAAACTGAACCGACGGTATCAAGCTCATCGTGCAAGTATCGAGCCGATATTGAATACTGACTTGGTATCGATATTTTAGCGATATGCAGATCGATTCTCTCACCACGGTCGCGTAGGGTATCTCCTGGTGTCAAGACTCCCGACCACATACCGAAAACATGCATGAAATGTACCATGACTATGAAATGGATGTCGGGATGAATTTCTGAATTACAGTGGCTATAAAAAGTCAACACAGCCCGGTTTTTGTGACGAGGCCGATATCAATCCTTTCAAATCCCCCCACCCCATTAATGTGACAGAAGAAGGTGTACCTAATGATGCGGCCAGCACGCAGGCCCTCTCACATCCACTCCCCCCGAGTCAGCTGCATCGAGACGTACTGACAGAAGCACACGCCTCCCTCCAAGTGACCGCGGGATGCAGGCATTGGGAAGGGGAAGCTTCTTTTGGCTAGGCAGCAGGCGTAGCCTGACGAGAAATAAAGCAAAGCTCTTTGAAACAGGCTCTCCGCGTTGGCCCGCTCGGAGAAGAGCTCCACAAACTCCCGCTGACACGCACTCAGAGAAACGTAGACCATGTAGACTTTTGAATTGGACTGACAGCCCATTAAGATCTTTTCCTCACAGAGGATGACGTTTGCCTGACCGGCTGCCTTTTGCATCTGCTTGACCGTGTGAGCCACACCATCCCTCTTGGTGAGCGCCCCCTGAACCAGCGCACCAATTAAAACGCAGCATAGACAAAAGAACACCAGTTGGCAGACATACGTGCTGTGATTCAACGCGAGGAGAGTGATCATAAATGCGAATAGGCCTACTAAAGTTAAATAAAATATACTCGCGACAGCAGCCACAATTGCTTGTAACCATTTTGGGTAAACTTTCTGCTGAGACACACTGTTGATGATGGCGATGGCCTTCCTGTACTTCTCTGGGTCTTCAATGATCAGGCGCAGTTGGTCCGGTACGTCCATGTCACTGAACTGCCCCGCATCCCACTTGTAAAGACTTTCCACGTTAGCAGCAGTTAAAGGCTGCAGGGCCTTCCCGTTGTAGATGGACGGAGGCTGGTAGGGAACCACCGTGGAGCCTTGGAGCTGCCGGTTGGGGGTGAAGAGCACCTTCAGCAGCTTGGCCATAAAGTCGGCGTCCCGAGCCTCCAGGTAGGTGAGGTGGCACAGGTGAAGCGGGACGCAGACGGCCGGCTCCAGAAGCACGGGGACGATGGGCTTCCTCTCCAGGCAGTCCCTGAACAGAGACATGTTGGCCTCCAGGAGACACCAACGGCTCCTGACGAACTCCGAGCTGAGGACCAGCAGGACCTTCTGGCTCTCCTGGATGCACTCGGACATGTTCTCCAGCACGGTGCGGCCGGCCGTGAAATCGCGCTCGTGGTAGCAGACGTGCAGGCCCTGGGCTTCCAGCTGCTGGATAAGCGAGTGGGTCCACTGGGAGTCGGTGCTGCTGTAGCTGATGAAGACGTGGAATGTCTCGCCTTGCTTCAGAGGGGGAGGAACGTCGGCGGAAGGAGCCGCCGCGCTGCCCGCATCAAACTTCATCTCATCCATCTTCTGGAGAGAGACCACAGACTACGAAGCGCAACGTAACATGTTTCATTTTCATGACAGTTTGCTACCACGGTACCTTGACTTTCGAGTGTCCCAACTCACAGTTTTTCCAAGTTGCGAGCCGTTCCAGACCACCGAGGAGTCAATTGTTCCTCATGCAGACACACTCTGGACACAGATCAGGACAGTCAAGAAAGTAAAAATGAAAACACTCACAATGAGCCGTTGTTGGGGCAACCACACTCCAGCTCCAGACATGACTGACGAGGCCAACCCCTTCAAGCAACACTGATTGCACGGTGCGTTTATTCCATTTTATTTTGTCAAGTGGTTGCATGAAATAAAATTATCCGGATCCATATCCATTTTTTTTGCTATTTAAAAAAAAATGCATCTGAGTCCAAAAGATTCTATTGTGTGCGGCCACTTGACAAAACAAAATGCAATCAATTCAACACGCCGTTGTTTTCAGCAGTTTATGATGTTTTCAAACAACACAGTGCTTTTTGTCTTCATTTTGAACCCTCAAGTGCCTGACAATTGACTGTACTAAAAAAATTAATTAATACAAAAAACAATAATGTGCTGTTGTCAGATGAAAACCTCCCAATTCTGCCTCAGTTCAAATTAAACAACGGTAAATGAGATGTTCTATGTTCTCCTGAATGTTTTTTTTTTTATCTAAATAGGGGAAGCAAGTAAAGTCCAAATGTTGAGAGAAAACAAGCGCTTGCAACTCCCAAAAAAGAGAAAGTTGCATTTACCAGACATTATCCACAGTCGTACTTCAGAACGCACACATGCCTACATCCCGACCGCACCTCACCTGTCATTGTCTCCAATTCACCCAAGGTGGGACCAGTGCATTGTCCCATTGACGAGTTGCACGATTACTTACTTTAATACAATGATAATGTCATTTAAAATGTCCATGTTGTGTTTTGATGACAAAGAGTCTTTTTAGTTTGCTAACCATCGTCACACGTTGGGAGAAATACACAGTAAATGACTGCTGCCTTTATCTCGGGAGCTTTTGTTCGCTGGCTTGTGGTTTTTGTTTTTTTTTTCCAAACACACAGAACGTAACACAGCCTTGACCGATCCTGAGTTGTTTGTTCTTTACCGTGAAGTTCGAGCTAGTTGTGGATTTACTTACTTGATGTCGAGGTGAAGCAGCACAACTGTTTGGGGAAGTAGGAAAGGAAAAAAAAAATGAAACCTGACGCGGTTCGAAGCTTTCTTTTGAAGGCGTGTTACTGCTCTGATCAACCTTTGCCCAACAGCGAGACGGTGCTTGGGCATGTTGAGAGAAGTAACAGCACCTCTCATTGACATGAGGCAGTGGGAGCATTTTTTTGTTGTTCTTGTTTTGTGTTCCAACTAGCATGCAGGGGTTTTTGTGATATCAGGTTTGCCAGGTTTGTTTGTTGTAAGATAAGATTTTAGTCTTGCTGCTCTAACCATAACCCAGAAAGAAGAGATTGCCATCACATCCACTAGAAAACAGCCGGTCCTTGCAAGAAATGCAGCTCCTTAAAAGTTTTTGTCTCCCAGTGTGATGACAAAAATGTCACTAGAAGCATATTAGAACAGCTGAACTTTATTTGGGGTTCAGTTCCCACAGTACTTGCAAGAAATTCAGCTCCTTAAAGGTTTTTGTCGACCAATTGGTGCTTCCCTACTAACCAGTGTGACGACAAAAATGTGAGTAGAAGCATACTTGAACAGCTGAACTTTATTTGGGGTTCAGTTCCCACGGGACTTGCAAGACATGCAGCTCCTTAAAGGTTTTTGTCTGTCAATTCGTGCTTCCTTAACCAGTCTGAGTACAAAAACGTCAGTCGAAGCATTACTAGAACAGCTGAACTTTATATGGGGTTCAGCACTTTAAATGGTGGCAGGTTTGTTATTTCACATGGGGTTTGAATGTGATTGATTGGTGTTGGGGTTTTTTTCTGAACGCAGTCACATGCCAATTTTTCAAATGCTTTGTATAAAGTCTGGTAAGCACAGCCTAGCAATGTTGCGGACCTCAGGCCGTTTTAATATCTGAGAAATATTGAAAGTCAAGGGAAAATTGATTTGATTCAAATCCCTTCCACATTCCGAAAGACGTTCAGTGACAACTCTGAGCATACGAGAAAATACACTGGACGGGATCCCTTGCAGCCTGAATAAACAAGTGAAGTGAAGTGGGTGTTTTAGTAGTCTTGATGTACAAATGCATACAATTAAAATGAAAAGTGCATCCAGGCGCTTAAAAAAAGGACTTAAATGGCAACGGGAGAATGAGAAGTCAATTCTAATCAACCTTTCGAGGTTTAAGTGCCTGCCTTTTTCCATCCACTTTCCCTCGGTGCTTTCCCACACTTTTTCTCAACAAATCCTCTGGTGTGTGATGTATCGTGAACTGTCTTAATTGAAAAAAAAAAAAAAAAGAGAGGGTTTATTCCATAGTTAATATCTGTGGGAGCTTCAGTGTCGTGGAAAAGTGACCCTCTTCATCACACCAGCTCTGATCTTCTCCCACTTTGGGACAAACGCGTTAAATACATCGATTCTGGTGGGTTCTTGTCACGCGCGCTCAACAATGTAAGCAATTATAAGATAAGATCAGATAAGACAGGATAAGAATATTTTGTGGTGTTTTTCTTTTTTATATAATTATTTTAAATGTTGTGTGAAGCACTTTGTCACAACTGCAGCTCATATAAATAGATGGATTGTATAATAATAATGATAATAATAATCATAATAATCATAATAATAATAAAAAAACTATACCCATTGTGGAATGGTTTTATTGGGTTTTTTTTTTAGGCTGAGGGTTTTAAATAAAAAGAATAATTATAAATTTCATTGATCATTCAATCCAATCACATTCACATTCTGGAGATAAGAATGTTTGCCCCTCTTATTGTATTGTACATATATATTTACTTTATTTATATTTAAAGTGAAATTAAAGATTAAATTCTTCCACATTTCTACTTCCTGTTGTAGTGTTATTTTATAAAATACTGCGAAAAATGCTGAAATAATGATGATCTCATCCATCGTGTACATCACTGGTTTGAAGAGATGTATAACGATCCATCCAAAATGTTCACGTCACAAGTGAAAAAAGGGGCACGTCGCCCTCCATGAAACGTCATCCGACACGCGACACCGATTCTTACGTTCAAGACTTTGCCGCTGAGTAATGGGAATGACTTGCAGATGTGCGGACTGGGAACGGGTGCAGGTAGTTTGAGCCACGACCTCGACGCATTCTTTGATTTGGACTGTACATTTCGACCGTCATCTCAAAAATATGTGAATGAACATATATACAACCACTCATGTTATTTACCGTCATCATTGTGTGAGCACATGGGCTGTTTTTCATCCAAGAAACACCTGACCTTCTTGGTTACACTTTCCACTGATCGCGGGCCGAAAAGGAAGATCACACTTGACACAACATGCAGCGGGCGCAGCTGACAGCCACGCTTCCGCCCCCCCTCTGTGCCGCAACGTTTTCCTGAAGAGTATTATTTTTTTCTTTGGAATCGTGCTTTCTCAACACCTTTGCTTCTGTGAAGCCTCAACCAACTGAAAGCAAGAAAATTGAGAAATGTGACACTTTTACAAGAACAGCTAGAAGAAAATGTGCACTCTGGCTTGTTTAAAAAAAATCAAATGAAGGCAGTGGAAAAGCATCGCTTTCATTCCAGTGATGATCGCGGTGGAGCAGCCTCATCTGTTTTGTTCGCCGTGGCGTCACGCAAATGACGCCAGACGGAGGGGCACTGTAGAAAACGGATGAATGGACTTTTGACTCCTTTTAGCTTAGCAAATGCACAATGACCATAGTCTAGATACTTAGATTTGAAATCAAATTCATGGGCTGTATTTTCACGCACAGCACATCTGCAGCATGGCACAAATGCCGGCGGATCCAGCACAGAGCTCGCCGCAAGTGTTTGCTAATTTGACAGGCTGGATTGAACTTTCTGCAATGGGCTGGCAAGCAGTTCAAGGTTTCCCCCGCCTACTGCCCCAAGACAGCTGGGATAGGCTCCAGCACCCCCCTCCCCCGACCCCCCGCGACCCTTGTGTGGATAAAGCGGATCGGAAAATGGATGTATGTAAGGCAGACTT